ATGACACGAAGAAACCAAAGTAGCGTTCGACGGTTATTGATTAACGGTCGAATTACGGTGCCTATGACGGTTAATTAAAGCAAAGCGAAGGGCGAATTTTTTCTTGCTTTCAGCGTTGGTTTGCATTTCATTTTTTCCGCTTGCTGACGAATTCATTTTTTGTTCTTACTGATGCGAGGTCGATGTTTGAAGCCAAACTTGGCGACGTTGCGTTATTAGTGTGCAAAAAAGTAAAAGTGTCTCAGTAAGATTATTTGCAATAGTTGCGTTTCGCTGTTTTTCCACCCAACTAGCAATGATCGATAGCCGTTGTCAGTGGAATGCATGCCTTATCTGAATACACAAACAAACTTTTTTGACCTCAAAGATGATAACTTTCCGTTTTCCATGTTTCGCACGTTGTCGCTATTTGCAACGGTAGTTTGGTCATCTCGCCATATTCATCTGGTTCCATCTGCTTACGATAGGAGTTTATTCGGTTGAACATCAGACTACCAGCTAAAGATAGTGGATTTTAATCCCGACAATGGCAATTTGTCCCTAAATACCCTGAGACAAAAAAATGAATACCTTCTAGTGGACGGAGGCAGAAGACTACATGTCGTATCAGTCACAAGATGTGTCTCTTAACCTTACATAAATGGGACAAAACTAACTGATTGGTTCACGATAAAAATCGGTGCTGAATCGTCATCTAAATGGAGAAAGGTATTAGGGCTCCTAGACAGAGACAGGACGAGAGGCCAAAGGGTACAGACTTTCTTTTGTCTTTTGTATTTATCTGAAAAGGCGGAAATGAGCTTGGAAACTTCGCGAACTTTGTCCCTTACGTTTGGGCCAATAGATTTCTGCCACAACAATGTTTTGCTTGCTCAAGAAGGAAAATCTCATGCCACTCATTCACTCACCTTTGTGAGATTACTGCTACTCACCACTGAAACTGTAAGCTACTGATTACTTGCTGAGCTCACCGGCGGAAGACTCGCGGAACGTTTAGGCTGAGGCAAGTGTTTTGAAAGACTCTGCTCTGGACTCCAGTTGTCTTCTGTCGAAGCTCAGATTCTGGCCTAGGATCGAGAACGTTGGAAGCATTGTACGATGCGTCTGCCTCCGCCACCCGAAAGGACAAGTGGACATGAGAATTTATAGATATATAAAAAAGGAGGTTCATCAAACTTCCTCAGAGGATTGCTACAGAAGGCAACTCCAAGGGTTTCCACCAAATTTGCGATCATTGATCTATTTCCCTTAATAGAATGCCTTCAAGAAACATGGAGGCAGACACTCTTCGGACTGAGGACGACCGGTTTAATTAAGAAGAACCAGATTCTTTAATATCGTTCTTTATGAACATAAAATTATTACGGCAGGCAAAATGATGCGGCACTCATCCATCACTGCAGATGGTCAGTTGAAACTATGGCGCACATAAAGGCCCCATCGCGAACTGCGTACAATGCGCCCTGAAGTCTGTTCTTTTCGAAATTCGCGCCATTTGTAAGGTCTTTGATGTATGAACATATTTTGATGTCCAAAAACTTTTTATCGGTTCAGAATGTTCTTCATTCCAGAATTAGAGAAACGTCTACCTGCCGCTCAGAAACTATATTTCATTTTTGTAGAAAGCTATTATTCAATACTGACAATATGTGGGGTAACTGAATCCCGGTTTAAATTATCATAAGTTCAAAATTTCACTTAACGTCGCAGCTGCCTTATTACTTTGCGTCTTGCGCATGTGAGATGCAAGCTCTCATATACTTGGCCGTTTATGAACATTCTTCTCACGTATATGGCATCTGACTATGGGAAACATACGGGTCATATTGTCCTAAATTTTAAGGTCTTCGAACGTGTCTAAGGTCTTACCTGCGTGGGCTCGAACATGCCCTTGTTAAAGCCACCTAAAACATGTGGTGTGGCTCTTAAATTGCATGGATCCGTGGCCTGCTTAAATGGTCCCCTAGGTCGCTAGAAGCAAATGGGCGGTGCCATTATGACGCCGTTTCAATCCGGTATCAAAAGAGAAAATATTATTTCTCTTAGGGGCGGTATCAAAAATTAGCAATATGCCAGTAAGCCCGTGAGATCAGGCTTGTTTTTATGTATAAATAAGCCTACGGATAGTGGCACATCAGCAGGTGTTCAAACAGGCCTTTGCTCGGCCGTGCCGAGTGATGTGATTTTCGATCAATGAACTGCAGGAACTGAAATATCACGGAGTCGTGACTTGCTGCGCTATAAGTCGCTACAAGCAAAGGGACGGTGCTATTGTTATGCTGTTTCAATCCGGTGTCGAACTAGAAAATGATGAAAGTCTTGTACCATAGCATAAACAACATTCATTTGATACTTCAAACGTCTATAGCTTGCATATATTCCCCCGCTTACAATTGAAAAGGCTGTAGAGAGAGACACCATCCACAATCCAAAATGATGCCTTTTGGTTAAGCAGGTTTTTCTGAAGTCATGAAAAGGGTTTTAAACCAAATCATCATAAAGAACATTCTTCAAAAGTCATGCTGACTCGTGAGTACATCTGCATTTTTCTGAAGAGCTCGTGTTTCTAGATATGATTCACAATTACTTACAAGGCGGCTCCACATGGAAGTATCAAGAAGATGAGTAAAATCCAAGATGGATGGATTGATTAACAAGATGAAAAGAACGAAGGAAACGAGGGCAATATTAGGAATGAGCAAATGGAAATGAAAATAGACCATGAGTAGAAGAACAAAAAACATAAGAACGAGAAGAAACAAAGGTAGAAAAAAAGAGGGGAAAAGAAGGAGAAAGTGATGGATGAAGGAGAAGAGTAAGAAAGCAGAGTGGACAAGAAATGGATAAATGAGAAAATAAAAAGCGCAGGGAGTTAGAAGACAATATCTAAAGCCTGCTACAAAAATTCTCTTAGAGAGTGCCAAAAATTCTGCATTACCGACTCATACTGGCTTATCATCTTTAATTTATGGATCCAGCCTGGAATATGGCATTTTGTTTTCTGTCCTTCTGCAATGGAATTGGCAGGAATGTAAGGCTTTATGGTGTACTTCCTTATTTAGTTCTTTCCCTTCGGTAACCCTTTTCAAGCATGTGGCATCCCAGAATTCTGACTTTTCATGTTTGAGTTCATAGTGAGTTACTGAATATCAACGTCTGATCACTTGATGAAGCTTAAGTATCGGCGGTGGCATCTCATTTCCAGTGGGTAAAACTTTTTTGGAAAGAAAATTCTGCCAACAAATCGAAACGATAGGATTTGGATTCACGGTCCCACTGATCCATGAATAAAGCACAATGAAAACTGCTTTTGTGTCGTTTTTCCCGTGGACAGACGAACAGAAGAGGCAGAGGGTCTGGTAAAGCGGTGCTTAATGGATTTGAGGCAGCGGTCTGATGGTCTTTACGTGACCATCAGTTCGTTCTCCTGAACTGCTCGTCACGCGATGAGCGATGGAGTGAAAATTATGACTGATCTCACTGGGACACACAGATTCTATCACAGACCGGATTCGTCAATTATGCCTTGTATGACGTCAGGAGAAGATAGCGCGGCCAAGTTCGTCTAAGAGGCAACTGTGGACGTCGAGGACTACAAAATGAATTCCACCGAATCAGTGAGTCAAATTTACCTGAGTGAACCATAAGGCAAACGATAAGTTGTCAAACCTTGTACATAACACCTAATTAATACAAAAAACAAAACAAGCAGTGAAAAGATATATGCTAATCAGGATGACAGGAGTATTTATGGTCCAAAATAGTTGTTCTTCCCTCTTGGGATCGACCAGACATCGGGTAGCGATCAAAACGACTGACATTTGGTAGACAGAAGCCTGGCATGTGCAAGAACCGTGGGTCTGGTGGTTGGCTGTGTTGAATGAGAGCGTTCGTAATCCTGGCACAACGGGTGAGTTAGGTGGCTTGGAACAGAACAGCTTGGAGTAGCTATTGTGTTCATCAAGCTCCTGGTTGGGATGCATACAAATCCGTCGACGCGGCAGTTACAATAGGCGAAGTAGTCGCAAAAGACCCCGAATGCAAAAAATGGAGGAAAATTGGTGAATACAGGAATTGGTGAAATCTTTCAGTACTTTTGAGCCGACACACCACCTCCTCATTGTGTATAAC